AATATAATCAATCATTAAAGTAACGGGTGATCTCGACGCCTTGCATAATGGCCAAAAACCTGCCAGCTGAATCATATGCCTTGGTTTCTTGGTTATGTGGGCTACTAAGGAGGACGGAAGACTTTTTTCCCTGATTTCTGGGAAGTGGGGTGGTGAATCAGGCCTCTTCCAGACTGAAAATATCTTCTACTTTTTCTGTAGTTTGGTGCCAAACAAGATCGATGTCCCAGACTTCTCCAGGGGGGCGGTTCTACTACGACACTTAATGAAGCTTAAGCTTAGGGGCCCCAATCCGAGAGGAGCCCAGAAGGGACTTTAATCTATATTTTTTGTGGTGGTCTGTGTCATGAAACAGCCCCGCGGAAATAGACAGCAGTGCTTACCCAGACCTCGCTGCTGGTTGAGAAGGGGTCCCCATAATAGCTCAAACTTCAGGTGCCCCAAAAAGGTGTGTTTGCCACTGGACTCCTTTCTGGAACAGTCCAGAATTTTGCATCTTTTCTGGAGTTTTTTTTTTAAATTGCTAATCAAAAGTGCAAACCCTCTCCACAGATACAAACCGCACATAAGGCAAGCCAAACTATTCCAGGTAGGAAGCAACGCTTAAGATCAACTGTGGTTGGTAGAAAAATAACATTACGTAGTCTAGAAACCGGGGTTTGGGGGGAGAACCAATGCTTTTCCTGGAAGAGCTCAAGTCATTCCAAAGGGAAATTGCAATTTACACATATTTGTAACTGAATCCTTCGGATACACCGATGCTAGCTCTTTTCTGCAGAAACAAAGTGAGATGCGATGGGATCAACCGATATGCATAACGTGGCAGTGTTTTAAACTAGCTGAAGGAGCTCAAAACAGTGCATGGTTTTACCAGCAATAATAACTGCCAATATACATATTCCACATTTTAATGACTGCTGTGTCTTTGAAACAAAACAAGCCCTGCACTGGCCCAGATCAGCAGTTTGGAAGCAAAACTGCCTTGATCATCTTTATTACGTATTTTTTAAAAGCTTCAACCTCTTAGTCTATCTGCTCTTACTGTGAATTTAAGCCAGAAGTGTACTAAATAAAAACTCTTAAATCTATTGTCAAGCGTTGACTGTTGATGGTTCTTTGAACTATGTCTGAGTTTTGCGAAAAAGAAAAAAGGGGGACCTCCTTATATACACATACAGTACATGATAAAAATTGGGGTGGGGGTGGGGGTGGAGAATTCAGCAAAATTAAATTTACTAAAATTTCAGGTGGCTC